GCCCCGCCCCGCCCCGCCGCCCGCCCCCTCTGCACCGGGCCTGCGGGCCGACGCCGGCTCCCGGGGTGCCCCGCGCAGCCACGCCCCGCCCCGCCCCGCCGCCCGCCCCCTCTGCACCGGGCCTGCGGGCCGACGCCGGCTCCCGGGGTGCCCCGCGCAGCCCCGCCCCGCCCCGCCGCCCGCCCCCTCTGCACCGGGCCTGCGGGCCGACGCCGGCTCCCGGGGTGCACCGCGCAGCCCCGCCCCCGCCCCGCCCCCGGCGCTGGGCAGGACCTGCTGCGGCCCAAGCTGGGGAGCGCCCCGTGTCGGGGGAGAGCGGGGAGGGCGGCCTCGCAGCCGGTGGCGCCCCGGCTTCTCCCCGCCAGAAGGTCTCGGACCCCAGGACCCTTCCCCTCTTCCTCCCACCTTCCTCGCCTTTATCCTCCCCGCCCTTCCCGGGGTTCTCGACTGCGGCCGCTCCTCACGCCTGGACCTGCCCTTCTCGGCACCCCTGTTCTCCAGGGAGATGCGATGAGCCGGCGCCCCTGCGTCCTCCTCGCCGTCCCGGGCACGGTGCCCGTCCGGTGCCCGCGGTGGGGAAGGAGCCCCCCGCGACACCTCCGCGACGCCCCTCCCTTGGGCCCCCGCCCAGCTGGAGGCCCTGGGCCATGCCCCAGGGGACCCATCCAGGCGGTGGGGTCTAGAGCAAAGAGGGTGGAGAGGAGGGAGGACGGGGTCTTGGGCGCCTCTGAGATGCTCCCAAGCGCCAGTGGAGGCCGAGCGAGGCGCAGGCAACCGGGCAGCAGGCATGATGCCCTCGCCCACTGACTCCAGCCGCTCGCTGACCAGCCGACCCAGCACCCGGGGCCTTACCCACCTCCGCCTCCACCGACCCTGGCTGCAGGCCCTGCTCATGCTGGGGCTGGCCCAAGTGCTCCTGGGCGTCCTGGTGGTCACCTTCAGCATGGTGGCCTCCTCTGTCACCACCACTGAGAGCATCAAGAGGTCCTGCCCATCTTGGGCTGGATTCTCGGTGAGTTGGGTGCACAGTCCTTGGGTGGGGTAGGCTCCTGGGGCCCCACCCGTCCACACTAGCTGCCAGTCCAAATGCTGGCCTCGCCTCTTCTGGGCAGCTAGCTGTCTTCTTACAGGGCTGGGCACACCCTGTGGTGAGGGGCTCACTCATGTGCCTCCCCCTCGCCAGGCTGAGCCTGTGCCCACTCTGTCCCCAGCTGGCGTTCTCCGGGGTGGTTGGCATTGTGTCTTGGAAGCGGCCATTCACTTTAGTGGTAGGTGTTAGGGTCTGGTGCCCACTGGGAGGCAGGTGCCCAGCACCTGAGGGGATGCCGGCGTGTGCCCCCGAGGAGGGAGGGGATGGCTGTGCAGTTCGTGCCAGCCAAGCGTGGATGTGTGTGAAGGGAGTGCCCCATCCGTGGTAGAGGGTACCCCTGAGGGCCCCCGCCCTGAGTGTGCACCTGCTTCCCCCAGATCTCCTTCTTCTCGCTGCTTTCGGTGCTCTGTGTCATGCTCAGCACGGCTGGCTCTGTTCTCTCCTGTAAGAATGCTCAGCTGGCCCGGGACTTCCAAGACTGCTCCATGGTGAGACTGAGGAGGGCTGCTGGGCGGAGGGGTGCGGGACGCTGGGTTTGTCCCGACTGCGCCCTCCCCTCGGCCACCCAGGAAGGAAAGGTCTGTGTGTGCTGCCCCTCCGTCCCCCTACTCCGGCCCTGTCCAGAGTCAGGGCAGGAACTGAAAGTGGCCCCTAACTCCACCTGTGACGAAGCGCGAGGAGCCCTCAAGGTGAGCGTGCACTCCCCACCTCAGCCATTCCTTTCCCCTCACCGTCTCCCTGGTTTTCACCTTTGCCTCCGCTTCTGGAGCCCTCACAGGTCCAGAACTTGTGGGGTTCACCGCTCCCCGGCCCCGCTCACATCCCTCTCCCTCTCTTGCTCTCAGAACCTGCTGTTCAGCGTCTGTGGGCTCACCGTTTGTGCCGCCACCGTCTGCACCGTCTCTGCCATTGTCTGCTGCGTCCAGATCTTCTCCCTGGGTCTTGCGCACACGGTGAGAGGCGGGCCAGGGTCAAAGCCAAGCAAGTGTGACGCGGGGCAGGGGTGTGTGTGCTGGGACTGGGCTTGAGGGGATGGTGGCTGCGGTGCTGGCTTCTGAGCCTCAGGGGCTGTGGGGCATTTATTAGGCACATCTAGTGTCAGGATGTTTAGGGGGGTTCACGGAAGGGTGAGGAGGGGAGGGCGGGGAGCGAGAGAAATATGTGATGCTAGTCAGCCCGGGGACGGACGTTAAACGGGACCACAGGTTAGGTGAAGTCCAGAAGAGCCTGGATGGGGACGAGGGTAAAGGGGTGATGTTCTAGTGGGGGCAGAGAACAGGCGGCAACTCTGGATGTGGGTGGGGCCGTCAGTGGAGGAGGACTTCGTGGATGACCGCGGCAGAGAGGGAAGAGGAGCTGGTTCTGGCTGAGGGAGGAGGCAGACCAGGAGAACGTGGAGGAGTCTGGGAGCCGAGGAGCTGCATTCCCAGAAACCAGGCGTGCCGATCTGCTTGCTCCCCAGCAGCTGGCCCCTGAGCGCTCAGTCTCAGGCCCCTTGGGGCCTCTGGGCTGTACGTCGTCACCCCCAGCTCCTCTCCTACACACCATGCTGGACTTGGAGGAATTCATACCTCCGGTGCCCCCTCCGCCCTACTATCCCCCAGAGTACACCTGCAGCTCAGAAACAGATGCGCAGAGGTGAGGCCTGGCGGAGTCCTGCTGGGGAAACCCGAGCAGGGGGCCAGGGCTGCAGCCTGGATTACTGGGGAGGGAGCTCTGTGGCGTAGGAGTGCTCTTCCAGGCTCTCTCCTCTCCCTCATCCTGCCAGCATCACCTACAATGGCTCCATGGACAGCCCGGTGCCCTTGTACCCTACGGATTGCCCCCCTTCTTATGAGGCCGTCATGGGGCTACGAGGAGACAGCCAGGTGAGAGCAGGGCTCGCTGTGGCCTGGGGAGCTGGTGAGAAAGCCTGAAAAGCTGAGGGAGCTGCTGTCACTGGACAAAGAAAACAGCAGTCCTCACGGTCTTTGTGGCACCAGCACCTCCACGGCCATCTGGTCTTCCCTAGAGCCCGGGGGGGTAGCAGTGGGGGGAACTATTATTTCTATTTTACAGGTGTGGAAACTGAGGCCCACATAACTGACCCGGACAGGGTGGCAAAGCTGGACTGAAAGCTAGGTCTTCTAAGCTCTGTCCAGCACACAGCACATGGGGTGGCCACATTAGCCTGTCGGGCTGGCCCCCTGACACTCCTGTTTTTTGCAGGCCACTCTCTTTGACCCTCAGCTTCACGATGGCTCCTGCATCTGCGAGCGGGTGACCTCCATTGTAGACGGTGAGCAAAAAGTGGGGAGGGGGGCAAGGGCTGGGCTGCCTGCGAGAGCAGAGCTGGGTGGGGCGCTGGACTTGACCGGCCTCCTCTGAGATCCCTCTGGAGGCAGCGTGGCCGCTGAGGGGCTTTGAAAAGACTGGCGCCCCCCCCCCCCCCCCCCCCCGCCACCCCCAGTGTCCATGGACAGCGGGTCTCTGGTGCTGTCGGCCATCGGGGACCTCCCCGGGGGCTCGAGCCCGTCGGAGGACTCGTGCCTGCTGGAGCTGCAGGGCTCCGTGCGCTCCGTTGACTACGTGCTCTTCCGCTCCATTCAGCGCAGCCGCGCCGGCTACTGCCTCAGCCTGGACTGCGGTCTGCGCGGCCCCTTCGAGGACAGCCCCCTGCCGCGGCGACCCCCGAGGGCCGCCCGCTCCTATTCCTGCTCGGCCCCCGAGGCCCCACCCCCACTGGGGGCCCCCACGGCCGCCCGCAGCTGCCACCGGCTGGAGGGCTGGCCGCCCTGGGTGGGACCCTGCTTCCCTGAGCTGAGGCGGCGGGTCCCCCGGGGAGGCAGCCGGGGAGGCGGCCGGTCCGCTGCGGCCCCTCCCGCCCGCGCCCCCACTCGCCGCTTCAGCGACAGCTCAGGTTCCCTCACCCCCCCGGGGCACCGGCCTCCTCATCCGGCTCCCCGACCACCGCTGCAGCTGCCTCGGTCCCACAGTGACCCAGGCATCACCACCTCCAGCGACACCGGTGAGCATCCCCCCCCGCAAGGTTCAGGAGCACACAGGCAGGGGAGTTAAGAGGGCCAGGGGTGCCCGCCAGGATTTAGGACACCTTGGAGGTCCCCAAGGAGGAAGAAGGGGTGAGTTCACTCCTGCAGTAGATACATCTGAGTACTCACCTCCTAAAAACGCACCATCAGCAGCTGAATGGCTAAAACCAAATTCCACAGCCCCCAGCTGGAGCTAGTTACCCACCCTCCCCAAGCCGCGGCTTCCCGCCTGTTCATGGCGGCTTCCCGCCTGTTCATGGCGGC